AAAGCAGTTTTAAGAGAAGTAGTTGTGTGATACGAGCAGTTTAAAAATATTATAAGTTGTCAAGAAGAGTGATCTGGGACTCACATCATTGAGAAAATGGTAGATGCGCAGATTTTATTACTTTGCTAGAACAATAATTTATGGTATAGAAGATTTGATAACTACATATCTTTTCTGATTCTTAGGGTTTTCTGCCCTAGAAACTTAATTCACATGTTTCAGTTTCTAAAAACAGCCTGAGCCCTTCTACCATTCTGATTAGAACTCCCAACAGATTTATTTATATTACACTTTGTTTTTAAAAATGACAATTTTTAATGCTTTTGCTGTATGCTATTTGTAGTAGAGGCACTCAACATATGGTAGTAGTCTTAGCATTTCTATTTTAGCAGCAAATGTGATCTTAAAAATATTTGCTGTCTCTCTCACTTTAGGATTACTAAGTGATTATAACAATTGGATGTGGAAATGAACTTAGAGGTTGATCAGTTTATCCTCTTACCGAGAGCAAGACCTTTCCATTTTAAATGGAAAATTTAGTGTAAAATTTTATAGACAGAATGTGTTTTCTGGAGTTAATATATTTCCCTGTCTTTGTCAGCTCCAGCTGCCATGAGAAAATACCATGGTGAGGTCTCCCTTCCTGACCTGCACACAGCTGCTTTCCAGCCCAGCATCTTCCTGTGGCTGGGAGAGTGCCGTGCTGTCTCCTGGAAGAGCTTAATTCTGTTATGAGGCCCCACCCTCATCACCTCAGCTAAACCTGATTATCTCCCCCAGACCCTATCTCCAGATAACATCTGTCAAGTTGGGAGTTAGGGCTTCAGTGTAAGAATTTTGAGAAGGGACACAATTCTGTACAGTGTTCCCTCTTTATTTACAATCTTTAGTGCATTGATTCTTAGACATTTTAGATGTCATTAGATTTCAAAATGACATTTTTACAACAGATGGAATACTTTTGTTGATAGAGTTATTACTGTATTCTGTTACTAATTTTTATCCTTGATATTTTATTCTGTACTGTAATGGAGTAAGTTTGAAAATAAAAACTTGAAACTTTAGAATCTCTTAGCCTAAAGTAACATTTATTATTACATTTTAGAGGTTTGATGTTTATCTCTTTTATAATGAAAAATTGGATTCTGATTTTCATATGGTGAGGTTATCTTGGGCATTGGCTTTGGCATCAAGCCTGGATTTAATCTTGGCTCTCTCTCCCCCCCAGCTATGAGTTTTGGGTATTTTTACTTGTGTAAAGTTGTTTTTTCATTGGTAAATTTTCGTGACTTGAGCTCTGAGCTCTTATTCCCAATCTGGTGTTTTTACATCTCTAGAGCTCAGTTTTTTTTAAAGGTTTCAAGAGAAATTACTACATTAGAACATCTAGAACTTACATCCCTCTTCATGTTAGAATTGGAAGGTGTAAATGTGAAAGATTATTCAGGGTTTTTAAAAAATGTTTATTCTTTTTGAGAGGGAGACTGATAGAGGGTTGGGGGGAGGGTAGAGAGAGAGGGAGGAATCAGAAGCAGGCTCTAAGCTCCAAGCTGTTGTTGGCATAGAGCTCATCTTGGGGCTTGAGTTCACGAACCTTGAGATCATGACCTGAGCTGGAGTCGGTTGCTTAACCAACTGAGCCACCTAGGGTGCCCTGATTACTCAGGGTTTTAAATCTGTAGGTCAGGGAAAGTGGTTATGGAGAAGAACGTGTTTGTGACAGCAGATGAGCTTTTTTTGTTTGCCCTTTTTCTTTTGGAATAATCTTTAATCTTACAGAAAAGTTGTAAAAACAGTATGAAAAATTCCTGTATTCCTTCATTTCTGTTCCCTGATTATTTGCTGTTCCAAATCCTGTCATCACCTGAAACCTTAAATTCAAATCACAGGCTCTAATGCTTTCAATTTATCACTCAGGTAGTACATTTTCTCCTTGTTTTTTATTAAATGAACAATGCAATCCATTGTAAGCTTGATTCAGTAAGCATTTAATAATTACTATTTGGGGGGGTTTTATCAATCATTAAAATTGGCAGTTCCTTCTACTGTCCTACTTATCCTCTTCCACCTTCTCCTACTTCTCTCTCTGGCTTAGTCTTCTGTGAAATGTTACTCTATTTTCCTGGCAGTGTCTTCCTTTCACTTGCTTTTCTTCACACGTGTCTGGTACTGCTCTGGTTCCTTTTCCTTCCAGCTGTTTGTTGTGTGCTTTCCTTTACGCCCCACTCCTGCAGGTGCTGCTGGACATTAATGAGAGCCTTCAAACTGCCCAGCCTTGGGAAGACTAGTCTAGATCCCCAGTTGCCTGCTTCTTCTGGGGTGTCATCACTGATTGTCAGTGCCTCGTTTGCTTATTTGTCGGTCTTTCTTCCCAGTTCTTTTCCAACCCTCCTACATTTCATGTTATCTCCATTCAGTTGATGAATGCCTTTTTCATTTGTTCCTAGTAGTGCCTAATAATATAGTAGGTGTGGGTAAATATTTGTATCAGTGAACAGAGGAATCAAACATTTTGAGTTGTAGTTCTGTCAAGAAGCTTAAGACATTTGTTCTACAAATAAAAGTGTGTGTGTACAGATTGTACTTTGTTTTGTAATCTTTAATCTCTGCACCCAATGTGGTGACCAAACTTAGAAGCCCAAGATCAAGAGTTGCCATGCTCTGCCAGGTGAGCCAGCTGGGCTCCGCCTAAAGATTGTAGTTTGAAGGGAAGATTTGGTGAATCTCCTTACCAAGGCAGCAAACAATAGACAAGATGGCCAAAGGGGAAAGCACATAGAGCTGCTAAAGAGGGGTGGCAAAAGCTTATTAACATTTATGTAGGGAAATAGGAAAAAGAGACAGAGCTGTCAGTCATAGAAACCAAAAAAAATGCTTTACACAGAATCTGTTTACTTTTTATATTTGTATATGATACTTGACTATTTCTTATTACTTAGTAGAGACTATTTTTTATTTTTTTATGTTTTATTTATTTCTGAGAGAGAGACAGCATGAACGGGGGGGGGAGGGGCAGAGAGGGGGAGACACAGAATCTGAAACAGGCTCGAGGCTCTGAGCTAGCTGTCGGCACAGAGCCCGACACGAGGCTCAAACCCACGAACCGTGAGATCGTGACCTGAGCTGAAGTCGGATGCTTAACTGACTCAGCCACCCGGGCACCCCAGATTCTTTGTTTTTTAAATAAAACACATGGTGTGTATATAGTATGCTTACTTGGAAGTGGCTACAGATTCTTTTTAATGTTGACTGTTTAAATCAGTGGGACATGGTACTTCATTTTCCAGAGGAACTAAATTCTCACCATAAGATTAATGAAGAAACAGAGGTAGACAGAGCTTGGATACTTAGAAGCGGTGGCCAGAAAGGTGCCTTAATTTAATTGAATTTAGCAAATTGGAAATTTGTGATGGTATGGGTTTTTACAGATATGCTAGATTTTTTAAATCATTATTTTGAGATGGGGGGCAGGGCAGAGAGAGAAGGGGATGGAAGATCTGAAGCAGGCTTTGTGCTGACAGAAGAGAACATGGTGCAGGGCTCAAACTCACGAACCACCAGATCATGACCTAGGCCAAAGTTGGACCCTTAACCGACTTAGCCACCCAGGCGTGATTCAAATATGCTATATTTTAAATATCACTAAAAATAATGTTTTTGTATTTATTACTTCTAAATCCTTTTGTAATGGTGAGTAACCTTAGAATCTTACAGTTTTTGAGACTGAAGGAATTTTAGAGATCATAGCTCATCTTGCCTTGATGTTGGCAACCCTTCACAGATTTTTTTCAATAATTTTCAACCTATGATGCTTATTCTTCATAAAAACCATCTTTTTGTTACCAGTATTGTCATTCTTTCATTTTGAAAGGTTGATGTTTATCTTGTGATAAACTTCTGCCTTCCAAATTTCCCTTAGATCTTTTAGAAACAATCTGTTTGCTTTTATTATATACATAATTTGTAGGCTCCACGCTCAGCATGAGGCTTGAACTCATCACCCCAAGATCAAGGTGCATGGGTGGCGCAGTCAGTTGAGTGCCTTTCTCAGCTCTTAGGTCATGATCTTAGGATGGTGGGATCCAGCCCTGAGTTCCTGTGTAACGCTCATGCTGTGTGTGGAGACTTCTTGGGATTCTCTTCTTCTCCTCTCTCTCTCTCTCTCTCTCTCTCTCCCTCCCCCCTCCCCCCTCCCCCTCCCCCTTCCCCTCTCCCTCTCTCTCTCTCTCTCAAATTAAAAAATGGGACCTGGATGGCTCAATTGATTAAACATCCAATTCTTGATTTTGGCTCAGATCATGATCTCATAGCTCCAAGTTTCAAAGCCCTGTAGGGCTATGCGCTGATCATGTGGAGTCTGCTTGGGATTCTCTGTCTCCCAGTCTCTCTACCCCTCCTTCACTTGAGTGTGCTTGCTCTCTCTCTCTCTCATAAATAAATAAAAGAAAAATAATTTAAAACATTGCATGCTTTACCGACTAAAACAGCCAGGTGCCCCTCTTAGTCTATTTGCTTTTAAAACACTAGCTTTTTTCCTTCTTCACTTCTTCTTTTAACATGTTTTTGAAAAATAAAAAATGTTTACAAGGTGGTATATTCATTGTTCAAATCTGGAAAACGTAAATGCACACATTTTGGTATATCTGATTTTGGTGAAAAATGCTAGTTTCCAACTATCATTGCTCAGAGTCCTAGAAACTTGAATTTAGAAATATGATTACTGGAGTGCCTGGGTGGCTCAGTTGATTAAGTGTCTGACTCTTGATACCGTCTCAAGTCATGATATGATTTATGAGTTTGAGCCCTGCACTTTCAGTGCAGAGCCTGCTTGGGACTCTTTCTCTCCTCACTTGCTCTCTGCCCCTTCTCAGTGCGTGTGTGCTCTCTCTCCCCTTCTCTCTCAGAATAAATAAACTGAAAAAAATATGATTACTTTCTTTTTCTTTAAAAGGGGGGATTACTGTTATTCAGGAGGCTTTGTTTTTGTAGACTGACCCTCGTTGCTCGCTTGGGCAGCAGCACATATACTACAATTGGAACGATACCGAGAAGATTAGCATGGCCCTATGCAAGGGTCACATATAGACTGACACTCTGACTTTAATGATTCACATTTATAGGGACATCGTAAGCAGGACAATAATGTTAAATATTAATAGCATCCAAATAACCAAAAGTTTTTTTAAAATTAAAAAGACTAGGGGCGCCTGGGTGGCTTAGTCGGTTAAGCGTCCGACTTTCGCTTAGGTCATGATCTCGCGGTTCGTGGGTTCGAGCCCCGCGTCGGGCCCTGTGCTGACTGCCAGCTCGGAGCCTGGAGCCTGTTTCAGTCTGTGACTCCCTCTCTCTCTGACCCTCCCCTGCTCACGCTGTCTCTCTCTCTCTCCTAGAAATAAATAAAACATTAAAAAAAAATTAAAAAAAAAAAATTAAAAAGACTATATAGTTTCTTTGTAGAGGCTGTAGTTTCTTTGTTCTGTAACTGTAACAGTATGTTTTTTGAAATCAGAACAGGCAAATAGCAAAGAAATGCACCTGTTGAACTTATTGTTTCAAGAGTTTTTAAATTACTAATTGTGTAAATTGTACCATTTTGTTACTTAAGATGTGGATCTGCTGAATGCAGCCCTGTGTTTACGCAGGAGTTGAGGTTTTTTATTTATTTTCCTCCAGTGGGTCTTTATGACATTTAGATTAAACTGGGCAGTAGTCCTATCCTAGCCTCCTAGGCTCTGCAAAACCTGATTTCTGCCTACTCTCACTTCTCCTTCCTCTCCCCCTCAGACATGAACCCACTTATCCCAGATCAAAATTGATTTTTATTCCCTGCAGTGTTTCTCAGCTGTGGCTATACTTGCATACCTTGGGGATATCGTGGGTTCAATTCCAGACCAGTGTAATAAAGTAAATACTGCAATAAAGCAAGTCAAATGAGAATTTTTTTTGGTTTCCCAGTGCGTGTGGAAATTATGTTTATACTATATTGTAGTCTATTAAGTGTGCAATAGCAGTATGTTTTTTAAAAACAGTGTATATACCTTAATTAAAAATTACTTTATTGATAAAAAATGTTAACCATCATCTTAGCTTTCCAGTGAGTCATAATCTTTTTGCTGATGGAGGATCTTGCCTTGATGTGGATCAGGGTGATGGTAGCTGAAGGTTGGGGTGGCTGTTTCAGTTTCTTAAGACAATAGTGATGTTTGCCGCATCAATGGAATCGTCCTTTCATGAACCATTTTTCTGTAAATTGCAATGGCATTTGATATCATTTTATCCACAGTAGAACTTTTTTCAAAATTAGAGTAGTCTTGGGGTGCCTGGGTTGCTCATTTGGTTAAGCGTCCAATTCTTGATTTCAGCATAGGTCATAATCTCAGGGTTAGTGAGATCAAGCCCTGTGTTGGGCTCCACTCTGGCAGTGCAGAGCCTGCTTGGGATTCTCTCTCTCTCTGCCCTTCCCTTGAATATGTTCTCTGTCTCTCAAAATAAATAAATAAACTTTTAAAAAATTAGTCTTCTCAAACCCTGCCATTGCTTCATCAACTAAGTTTATGTCATATGCTCAGTCCTTTGTTGTCATTTCAGCGTCTTCACCAGGAGTAGAATCTATCTCAAGAAACAAACACTTTCTTTGCTCATCCCTAGGAAACAACTCCTCATCCATTTAAACTTGATGCTAAGATTGTAGCCATTCAGTCCCATCTTCGGGCTCTACTTCTCATTCAGTTCCACCACATCTGCAGTTACTTACGCCACTAAAGTCTTCAGCTCCTCTGGGTCATTCCACAGGGGTTGAAATCAGCTTCTTCCAAACTGCTTTTAGTGTTGATATTTTATGTGACCTCATTAATCACAAATATTTTTTTAAGGTTATTTATTTATTTTGAGAGAGAGAACACAGGGGAGGGCTAGAGAGAGAGAATCCCAAGTAGGCTTTGAGCTGTCAGTGCCAAGCCCAACACGGGGCTCAAACCCCTGAACTGTGAAATCAGGACCTGAGCCAAAACCAAGAGTCAGGTGCTCAACCAACTGAGCCACCTAGGCACCCCTTATCATGAATATTTTTAATAGCATCTACAGTAGTGATCCTTTCTAGAAGGTTCTCAGTTTACTTTGCCTAGATCCATCAAAGGAATCTATGGTTGTGATAGCCTTACAAAATGTATTTCTTAAATAATAAGACTTGAAAGGTGAAGGGACTCCTTGATTCATGGGCCGGAGAATGGTTGTTATGGCAGCAGGTATAAAAACATCTTGTTGTACGTCTCTGTTAGAGCCCTTGGGTGACCAGGTACGTTGTCAGTAGGACAGTAATATTTTGGAAGGAATCTTTTTTTCCAGAGTAGCTTCCCTAATAGGATGTATGTCAGTGGAGCATGTGACTCTTAATCTCAGGGTTGTGAGTTTGAGTCCCACATTGGGTATAGAGATTACTTAAAATCTTTAAAAATAATATTCAGTAAACCATGTCATAAACAGATGTGCTGTCATCTAGGCTTTGTTTTTCCATTTCTAGCACAGATAGAGTAGATGTAACATAATGCTTTAGCACCCTAGGATTTTCAGAATGGTAAATGAGCATTGGCTTTAATTTAAAGTTACCAGCTGCATTAGCCCCTGACAAAAGAGTTAGCTTGTCCTTTGAAGCTTTGAAGCCAGATATTGACTTCTTTCTAGCTATGAAAGTCCTAGACACATCTTCTTCCAATAGAAGACTGTTTCATCTGCATTGAAAATCTGTTAGTGTAGCTGCTTTCATTAATTGACTTAGGTAGGGCTTCTGGATTATTTGTTGAAGCTTCTACATCAGCACTTGCTCCATCTTGCACTTGTGTGTTATGAAGTTGGCTTCTCTCCTTTAACCTCATGAAACAATCTCTGCTGGCTTCAGAGTTTTCTTCAGCTTCCTCACCTCTCAGCCTTTATTTTATTTATTTTTTTTATGGTTTATTTTTATTTTTGAGACTGAGAGAGAGCATGGGTGGGAGAGGGCGGGAAGAGACAGAGACACAGAATTTGAAACAGGCTTCAGACTCTGAGCTATCAGCACAGAACCCGATGCAGGCCTTGAACCCATGAACCATGAGATCATGACCTGAGCTGAAGTCAAAGGCTTAATGGATGGAGCCACCCAGGCACCTCACCTCTCAGCCTTTATAGAATTGAAGAGCATTAGGACCTCACTCTTGGATTGGGCTTTGGCCTAAGGAAATGTGGCTGTTTGATCCAGATCACAAAAACTTTATCCATATCAGCATTAAGGGTGTTTCACTTTCATTCCTATATTCACTGGAGTAGTACTTTTAATTTCCCTTAATAACTTCTCCTTTGAATTCACACCTTGGCTAACTTCGGTGCAAGAGGCCTAGCTTTTAGCCTATCCTGGCTTTCAATATTGCTTTCTTACTAAACTTAATCATTTTCTAGCTTTTGATTTAAAGTGGGAGACATGAGACTTTTCCTTTCACTTGAATACTTGCAGGCCATTGGATTGTTTATTGATATAATTTCAATATTATCGTGTCTTAGGGAAGAGAGGAAGAGGAAGGAATAGCTGGTGGACAGTCAGAACCACCCCCCCCCACACCATTTATCAGTTAAGTTCACTGTCTTAGTTCATGGTATCCCAAAACAGTGGCACTAGTAACATCAAGGATCACTGATCACAGATCACCATAACAAGTATAATAATAATGGAAAAGTTTGAAATATTACGAGAATTACCAGAATGTGATACAGACATGAAGTGAGCAAACGCTGTGGGGAAAAATACTGCTGAAAAACTTCTTCCACTCAGGGTTGCCACAAACTTTCAATTTGTAAAAACAAACAAACAGACAGACAGACAAAAAAACCAGTCTCTACAAAGCACAATAATAAAGGGAGGTATGCCTGTACTTTAAACTGTAGGTGCCTGAGGAGCTTTTCAAAAAATACTATTGCTAGCCCCAGCCTGAGAAATTCTGATTTAATTTGTTTGGCATGGGGACTATAGTGTCTTTTAAAACCTTCCTGGGGAAGTCTACAGCCTGTGTTGAGAACCACTGATTGACTTTTCTTAGCTCATATCATGTTTTCAGAGAGATCTGTTGGACCTTTACTATTATATCCAGTCTCTACCCCCTCTTTGCTGTCCCTTTATATCCAGATAGTTTTTTCATTCTCCTATTTTTATTTACTTATTTATTGTTAAAAGTTTCATGAAGACAGGGACATGATCAATTTTTTCATAATATATCCTAACATCTGAGACACGGTTTGGCAGTTTATGTGTTCTCAAAACAATTGTATCTTGTTGAATATTGTCACCGTAGCAGTAAGGCGGCAATTTCAGACTTGTTGTTTCTGTGCAAATTGTAGAGGATTGCTTTGCTAAGTTGTATTTATGAGGACATTGGTTTCATTATGTAAAGTTTTAGTATCAAAGGACAAGCACATACAAGGTATGTTATCTCTTGGAAGCTGTTGTGGATGTACTATGCTTTAGTCCCTTTGATGGTTGGTATGTTCTGCTCATTGAATGTTCATTTCACACAGGAGTTGTGTGCGTGTGTTCATTACTTTCTCTTTTTTTATTTGTTGCATAAACCACAAGACAGATAAGAAGTGAAAGGAACCCACACTTCAGCTACTCTTTGTTTACCTATAGTCTTTGTTAATATCATTGCATATTTTAGATATGTGTTTTGCCAGTGAGGATAGATTTTTAAACTCTTTTTACTTAAGAATAAACCATTCACATTTTTTCATTTTCTGGTCTTGAAACTTTTTTTTTTTCATTTCAAGTCATTGTTCTTAAAACATCTGCTATTTTTCTTTGTTTTCTGTTAAAAAGCAAAGTGCACTTACTGTTTATATTTAGACATTGCAATATGTGCAACAGAGAATCAGAATTCTTTATAATCAGGAGTGTAGCTCCTGCTGATAATTTGTGGTATGGTTTTGTAGACTTTCAGACTTGGCACCTGGATTGTATTTTTTATACTTAACATATATACTTTGTTTGAAAAATCATGTATACTCTTTACAACTATTTATATATTTTTGAGAGGAAGAATTCACAGACGGCAAGGAACCCAGTGTGAGCCTTGATCTCAAG